AGATACATGGGCTCTGGTCATAACTGATTGCGTTCTGGCCCTCTCTGTGGAGCCCTGTTTCCTATCCATCCAGTGATAGAAGGGACACAGGTTCAGCGGGTAGACTTGCCTGTCTAGGTCACCCCATCAGACCTAAAGCATGCAGCCAGAGATGGCTTTCATCTCACCAGCTGCTCCAGCCTCGTGTCCTTGTAGAAGCTGGGGTTCCTCCACATCTTAGGTGAGTTCATATGAAGGAGAACCACCAAACAGTGAGGTGAACAAATGGTGGATCTAGGAATCTGAGGAGCTGGTGTGACCGGAGCCCAGCAGGCATAACCAGCATGATCAGGCCATGGTGGTGAGTCAGGATGGGTGCAGAAAGCACCATTTGCCAAGGCCACCTGGGGCTTTGGGGGCACAGGCACCTGCATTCACACCCCTGCTCCACCTCATTCATGGATCCCAAGCCTCAGTATTCCCGTCTGTCTGACAGGACCTCCAGAGCTGTGGGAGGATCCAAGGTGCCAACACCTGGCTCACTGCAGGAGTGATGCATATTTATTGAATGATTGCATAGGAGAACATGAAGAAGAGACCCGGGCCTGCCACAGGATGGTACCCCCCAAAACATAAATAAAACGAGTGCAAAGATGCTAACTAGGAAAGCTGGCAGCTGAATGAACCCCAGGAAGAACATGGAGGAAATGCCTCTACTGTAAGATGATAACCCTGGTTGGGCATGGTGAGGCATTCCAGTAATCCCAGCACTCAGGAGGCTGCAGCAGGAAGATGTTAAGTCCCAGGCCAGTCTGGGCTAAATAGCGAGACCCTGCTTCAAAAAACCAAGGGCTAGGGGTACTGCAGCGGTAGAGGGCTTGCCTAGCATGCACAAGGCCTTGGGTTGGATTCTCAGCACCACCAAAAAAAAAAAACAAAAGTGACAAGTCTGGAGAAGAGGGTGGTTAAATAGCCCTGGACCAGTTCTGTCAAGGCAGTTCTGTCCCAGAGGCCAAGGTGGTGGCTGGAGGTGAGGGACAGGGCTGGCTCCAGGAGTCCTCTCAAAGCAGGTGCTTTGTTGACGCAGCTGCCACTTTCCACAGTGCCACCCTCCAGCCAGCGGGCACCGTCAGGACACTGACAGCAACCATCGGCGGCAGCCAAATCCCGGGCGGCACCTGCAGGTTCCCAGTTGGCAGCCATCTTGGGCCTGGCATCTGAACGAGACTGGCTACAGAATTTTCAAGGTCCCTTGTTGAAAAATTATTACGAATTTTGAGACAGCATTAGAAGTAGAGTGGCGTATTAAACCAAGCCTGAGTCCTCCCGAATGTGGGGTCCACATGACTACAAGTGTGCATCTAGTGGAGCTGCACTCTCCCTTCCCGTCTTGCTGGAAGCAGAGCCTTCTTGGGGCTGGGACCAGACATCCCCGAGCGAGCGGCAAGGGAGACAGCAGCCCAGGCCATCTGCAGTCGCCTGGGGCCCACATACTCATTTCACAATCCTACGGCCATAGCAGGGTTGGGAAATTCAACCCCAATTCCAGACTTTCCGGGACCAGGCAGGCCCTGAGCTCCTCTACCACTAACAGCTTTGGCCTGGACACCTGCTGCCCCTGGTTTAGGGCTCCTCTTCTCTGATCTTCACATTACCTGGCTCCAGCCTCCCCAGAGAGGCCTCCCTGTCTTCCTAGGTGCCTGCAGGCCCCCTCCCTTTTGGCTTTGGGATCACCCCCAGATTCGTGTTTACACATGTGCCTGCCTCTCTTCAGGAATATGAACTCTTGCAAACCCTGCCCTCTGTGTGTGCCCCATTAAAGGAGGTAAATGAGATGCCACCTTGTCAGGGAGGGCCTCCTGATCCTGCCCCAAGCTAGCCTTTGGCTCGTCATTGTCCTATCTGCAGTGACCTGGTTAAGCCATGGGTTTGCATGTATGTATGATGTCCGTTTTGCCCTCCATGGTGTCACCTGAGGGCAGGGCATTTGTTTTGCTCTCAGGCCTGTGCCTGGTGGCTGGGCACAGAATGGTATTTGTTGAATGAACAAAGAAACTTCTTTCCTTAGCTGTGGTCTTCCTCCCTGGGAATGAGGCTGTCCAGCAGTGGGGGGAGGGTCCCTCCCCAGCACACCCACTCCTAGCACAGCGAACTCTCCCACCTTGACCTTGTCCTACTCCCCACTGGTGAACCGTGAGGGGTGCACTCTGCTGTTTGTGCCTGGTTGGCCCAGCAGTAGGTTCTGACCCTGTTGACTGAATTCCCAGCACCAGATTGCCTGACTCACAGACGCTCACCAAGTAAAAACACAGGACATCCTGTGAAATTTGCATTACAGGTAAGCTATGAACGAATTTTTAGTATATGTCCCCAAAATTGCAAGGGATGTACTTATGCTGAACGTTAGTCATGGTTTATCTGAAATTCAGACTTAACTAGGCATCCTGTATTTTGTCTTCAGACCTTATCACTAGGGTACCTCCATCCCATGGATGCAGACTGTCAAAAGTCAAGCCTACACTCCTTCCAGTCCTTTCCTACTGCCCACCTTAGCCAGGGGTCTTGTCCGTGTGCAAACCCTATAAAACAGAAGTAAAATGATAGCACATCCTCCCCTTCCAGGGCTGCCCCCTTATACTCTCAAGGCATTGCTGCCTTTATTCCTTGCAATTATCCCAGGAATGCTCAGGAAGGCGCCATCAGAGGCCCATTTTGCAGAAGAGGAAATCAAGATTGGAAAGGTGAAGATACGCACAGCTGTATTCACCCATCTTTGGGAGCCCATTTCCAACCACCATGCTGGACACCCAGCATCAAGCCCTCCAGGTAGAACCAACTTTGGAACTAGAGCCAGAGACCACTAAGCCAATTCCAGGTGACAGGTCAGCACAAAAGGGTCACATTGTGGCACCCAGTAAATGGTGGCCATTGCTGTTGCCCCAGACAGATCAATGGGAGGCCAAGCACTTGTGGGGAGGTTTGTTGATTTTCAGTCCACTGAATTAACTGGTTATTTTTGCCTGCTGGTGTTCAACCTCCATTGTGTAAAAGCTGCCTCATTTCCAAGACAATCAACGTGTGATTTCCTGCTGCCAGACAAGCCAGATCTCCTGCAAGGGACTTCCCAGAGGGCAGGGACAGTGTCTGGCATTCTTGAGTTCCTTGCATAGGGCTGGAGCTCAGTGGAAGTTTGTTGATTGAATGAATAAGGGAGTGATGGCCGTCTCCATTGGTCTTGGAGGTGAGTGGCTCCTGGGGTCATGCCAAGGCCCAGCCAACACTTTCAGTACCCTCCCAGGCATGCTCAGAATCCCCCAGCTTTTCCTCCAAGTTAGAGGCCAAACTGAAGTCAGACCTTCGCTGGTAAAAGATCTGCTAGGGAAACAGCCTCTCTTAGGGCAGAGACACCACGCCGCTCTGGCTGTGGCTTTAAGACTGAGCTGCTCTTCCCCGACAAATGATACATGGTGCTCAGCATCTTGGAACCTCCCTCTGGGCTGGACACTTTCATCTATCCACCTCCAGCTTGAACCCTCCAGGTGAAGACCCCAGCCCTCCCACAAGAGCGCTAGAGCATCAGGCGCACCTGCAGGACGAGAACCAACTCACTTCCTGGGCTGGCTCCCTACAGCACAGCACGTCTACACTGTTCTTCCCTTAGCCCCACCTCCCTCCCTAATTCTCATTTTTGTTCCACCATCCAGTCTATTAAAAACGATATAATATATTGTAAAAGCTGTTTTTCTCTGAATATAAAAGGAGTCCTTGCTCATTAATAAAACTCCAGGCATTACTGGAGCACTGTAGGTGAATATTTAAAGAATTAGAAAGAATAAAACTCCAGGCATTACTGGAGCACTGTAGGTGAATATTTAAAGAATTAGAAAGACGTGGGGGTGGGGACGGGTACCCCAGGGACCTGCGTGGCTCAACCAACCACTACGCTGGCCGCCTCTCAGTCTGTAAAATGGAGACAATATTTTGCCTCCCAGTTGATGTGAGGCCGTGAATACTTGAAGCGTTTCAGGCATACAGAAGGCTCGGAGCTCTCCCGGGCGTGTCTGCTCGAGTTCCAGTCTTTCCCAAACCCGCCGCCTTGGGCTTCGGGTTAAAGTGCGCGGAGGACTTGGGGGCTTGGAACCTCGAGTGGCTGCTGACAGCGGAGACTCCAGCGAAATCAGGCAATGGGTGATATCCGGGGCCCTCCCCCGTTCTCTGAGTTCCCTGCCCTGGACCCCCAGGGACCTCATGTTCTTTAGGAGATACGCTACCCCCCAAAGCCCGGGTCGCGGGCCCCAGGGCGGTGAAGGGGAGCGCACCCGTACTCTCCGCGCGTCCGGATCCCGGGACCCAGCCCGCCGTGGGCCGAGATCCAAGCCGATTCGGCTGGGAGGGCGCACGGCTTCCCTCCGCCGCTGAGTGGGTCTCGAGTCTACGCGGGCCGCCGAGCTCTGGCCCTTTAAGAGCCCGCCCCGTTTTCCGCCACCCCGCCCCCTGGCCCGGGGAGGGGGTGCGGGGGAACCTCGGCGGGGATTGGCGCAGCGCGCGCCCCCTCCCCGGCCCCCGCGCGGTGGGAACCGGCAGCCCCGTCTAGCGCTGACGTCAGACCGTCTGCCTGCCTCCGACCGCGGTCTCGGAGCGGAAACCCGATCTCCTTGGACTTGAATGAGGAGGCGGCGGCGGCGGCGGAGGCGCTCGGCTGGGGAAAGCCAGTGACAGAGGCTCAGCCCCGGCGGCAGCGCGCGCCCCGGCTGCCAGCCCATTTTCCGGACGCCGCCTGAGGGCACTGCTGACGCCCCTGGGGCTGCCAAGCAGCGGCCGGGGGGCGCAAAGGAGCGCGGCCCCGCGCGCTGAGCCCCGAGCGCCCCGGGAACTTGCGGCGACCCGAGCCAGGCGAGCCGGGGCGCGCCTCCCCCGCTGCGCGTCTCCTGCATGCGGGGCCCGAGCACCGGGCGCCGGCCGGAGCCCCCCCGGCCGCCCCGCGCCCCCTGCGCCCCGCGCCGCGCCACCACGCTGTCCATGCACCGCTTGATGGGGGTCAAACAGCACCGCCACCCCGCCGCCGGCAGCCCAATGTCTCCTGCACGTGCAACTGCAAACGCTCTTTGTTCAGAGCATGGAGATCAGTGAGTGACCCCGCGCCCCCTTCGGGGGCCCCGCCGAATTCGGACCCCGTGTCGGGCACAGCTGAAGGCTGGGCCAGGGCGGTGGCGCCCTCTCGGCCGTGAGCCCGCGCCCCGGCGCGCCCCCCGGTCGCGGCAGCTGGCGGCCGGCCGGCTTTGTCCCGCGGCTCTGCGAGCCTGGCACGGCCCCGCTGCCCGCGCCCCGCCCGTCCAGACTCGGACCCGGGGCCCGGAGGCGGCGCGCGACGCGGGAGGGCCGGGGCGGCCGAGCCCGTGAAGTTTCAATTTTATTTCCCTCAGGGGCAGTCGCGATGGAGCAATTAGGCCGGCTCTTTATCAACTTTGGGCGGGGAGGGGGGGCGTGTGAGACACTGTCTGGCCGGCGAGGTGTCTGGGGCCCGGGGTGTGTGTCTGGAGCGTTTATGGCGCTGTGTCGCGGTCTCCGTGAGTGGATTTCCGTGCGCCTGTGGAGTGCGCGGGTCTGAGTGTCTGCCTGGGTCTCGTGCGTCTTACAGTGTGTGTGTCTCTGGCTTGTCTGGGTCTTGGTGCATCTCTGGGTGTCTGTGGAACAGATTCGTGGTCTGTCCATGAGTGTGTGTGTGTGTGTGTGTGTCCGTCCCCGCATATCTGGGTGTCTCTGTGCCGGGTCTGGATGCTTCTCTTGCGTATGTGCATCTTTCTGGAGGTCTGGTGTGAGTCTAGCCGGATCTGAGAACCGTTTGTGTCCAAGTGTTTGAATCCGGGCTCCGCGCTCGTGCGACTGGCCCACCGTGGAACCCCACTGTGTGTGTCATTGTGAATGCCTGTGTCCGGGACGCACCTATAAATAGCCTCTGTCTGGACAGCTTGGCTCAGGCTGACTGGGACGGTGGTTACAAATGAGTCAAAGTTTGGGGCTGTTTGTGTGTGGGACAGCCTTGCTCTGAAAGGCTGTGGTGGACTTAGAGTGGGGAGGGGGGTGTTTAAGCCTTGGGCTGACGTCAGCATCCTGTACCAGCAGAAGCTTAGACCTGGAAGCCTTTATTTCCTTCTTAGATAGCCCACCCTTGTGGACGTTGGGTTGGGTGGAGAATTGAACCCTCACCCTCTGGGTTGTGGCTTCTAATCTACACTACTCCCCCAGCCCGCTCTCTGGAGGGACCTTTTGCTTCTCTGAACCTTGATTTCCCAGTTTTTGCCCCAAAGCACCCCAGGCAAAGGGGCACACAACTCTTCTCTGCTTACCCGTCTTCCTTCAGCTGGGACCAGGAGCCCGGGGGCAACTGCCAGGGAAGGAGGGCAGTGGCTAGGTGACTCACAAGCCAGTTTCCGCAGGCGGCTGCCACAGTTTTGGGCCCTTGAGTCTGTACAGTGAGGCACAAGAGGTAAAAATAACCCATGACCAGCCCTGCCTGGGGAATGGTGGCCAGGCTTTGGTGGTGGGTCCTTCCACCCACCTCCACCCACTCCCATCCTGCTCTTCTCCCCACCCCCAGCTGCTCTGCTCCAGGCCAAGAAAAGGGCCAGGAAAACCTACCCAGAGCCAGTGTTTGCAGAGGTGACTTGAATGAAGCACAATGGCTTCCCAAAGGCCTTTTGTGAACTTGGGTGGCCCATGAAATGTGGGAGGATTTTTAAAAAAATATTTCTGCATGTGCTTGGAAGAGTCTTGCTTCTGCTCCATAAGTTCCTTGCTGCCTTATTGCCCCCCCCTCCACCCCCCCAAGGGGTCCACGCTGTGTGTCACCTGATACTCCAATGTGTAGGCACAGTTGGAAATTCTGATCTTTTCCTCTCTTTGGGTTCTGGACTTTAAAATACATACATGTATGTATCATTCTCATTTTTGTCTGTTGACTGGCCAGTCAGCTCTAATGATGTTTTGGCTGACACCAAGCCATCTTAGTCCCTGCTTGTGCCTGTGCATTTCCCCACCGTCGGCATTTCAGTGGGACCTTTGGGGTTAGTCCTCGGAACTCTGATGCCCCTGTTGGTCCCTACTGTGTTTCCAGTTCTCTCAGTGGAAGAAAACGCAAGGCAAGAGGGAAACAAACTTGAAGATGTGGGTATAATGTAACAGTTTGTTGCTAGTGTTAGTCACATTTCCCTGGAGAGAAGTGAGGAAGCCTTAGGGCCTGGTGCTTCCTGAGTTTCTTTACTCCAAAGAACAGGGAGGGAGAGAAAAGGAAGGAAGGAAAGAAACTAACAGGGCTGCTGTGTATTTTGCCTACTAAGTACTGGGAGTTGTTTGCAACTGTGTAGAACTTTGAAGGTGAACTTGGAGTTGGACCTGGGGGGACTATCTGTGGAGTCTTCTAAGGTACTCTGCTAAAGGAGATTGACCCATTAAGGCATCCTGGACCTCTGTTTCCTCATCTGAAAAATGAGGCTGTAAGTTGAAATTTGAATGCCTACAGTCTTTCCAGGTCTGCTCTCTGCTTTTCAGAGTGAAGAGGCTGGCAGTTTGGGACCTGGTTCCCACCCACTGGTCACTTTCCCTGTGTGGCCTTTAGCTGTCCTGGATTTCAGAGCTGGGAGGAGGAGCCTTGGCGAGTTTGGAGTTCACATCCCTGGTTTTGAAGATAAGACAAGTCAGTGGGAGAAAGCTTTGCCCAAGCCCCCAGCCCCTGTGCCAGGTAGGGCTTGTTTCTCATGGGCCACACACTGCCTCCTACATTTGAAACTCTGGCCCCAGAACAGGCCCACCTTGAACTTAGAGCCTGGAAAACATCCTTCACAAGACACTAGGTGTCCCATCTTTTCCGAGAGTCTGGTGGAAGTCACTGTTCCCCCAACATAATGAAAAAGCTAGGGGTCCTGGGATTAAAAGCAGCTGGCCCAAGTGACTCCCACCAGAGGCCACAGAGGGCACTCAGTGGTTACTCTTAAGGAAAGGACTCCTGTCTGATGCTTTCCTTGGCACTTTCTTTGACCTCTTTTCACTTTTGCTAAGGCTCTCAGAAATGAGCTTCTATCTTTGTCCTCACATTTTTGCCTGAATCTTGGGGGGCAGGTAGATAGGTGCTGGATGTTCTCTGAATAGATTGGATTGTGGGGCCACCCAGCCTTGGCTCAGCAGATATTTCTCCAGGTCCACCTCAGTGGCAGTATCTATAGTGACGGTTGGTTTGTTGGTCAGAGTCCTCCAGCCTCCGATTACTCTTCTCCAACCTGTTCCAAAACACCCACCCACACACAAAGAAAAACCCTCTTCCCCAATCTCTGAAACTCACAGGACCCCTGGTTTTCCATTGCTTTGTTGGCACAGGCCATTCATTCCTCTTTGACAGCACTTGAATCCATGTGGCCATAGGACAATCTGGGCAGATTATTCTTTGTTGAGCAGGCAGGGAGGGCCAGCTATACAGGTGGAATGTTGACAGCTCATCAAATGCTGCTGGCTAAGAATCAGTCAAGCCCAGAGGGCAACCTCTCAGTTGCTAGGGATGACCCTCTGTTCCCTTCAGAACCCAGTCCCATGAAGGCCACCACTCAGCCTTTATGCAGTGAAAGACCAGGCCTTTTCTGGAGGTGGGTTTTCCTCCTGCTTTCCTGAGGAGTCTGTGGAACCAGCGAAGTTGATGTTTCTGAAGTGAGGAAGTGAGGGTGGAGACAGCAGCTGCTTATCTTGTGGGCCTATGCACCAGGGCTCTTCCCCCACAGGTGTCCTGGGATCTGGGTTTTGGGTCTTGGTGCAGCTTATGACTGCAGTCATGGGTCAGACAATGGCTGTCGTGTCCCAGGGCGCCTGGGACAAACCAGTTACGGTTACAGTGTGATCCAGGGTCAGGGGCCAGTTTAGAGTCTGTCAAGACAAAGTAAGTAGTTTTCTGCACACTTGTGCACCTGCACGTGTGCTTGTGCACTCAGGACGCATGACTGCTGCCTTTCTGCCTTCCCTGCCAGTTTTCTTGGGCTGGAAATGGTTAAAGTAGCTGGGTCTGTAAGGGAGAAGTGGGAAGGTACACCTCGTCTTCCAAGTTGTGCAAATTTATGTGTGCTCTCCCTTCTTTTGCCTTTGAAAGAGGACAGGGAGAGGAAGGTGTAGTTGTTCTGGAGAGGGTGCCTGCAGAAGGGCCAGGCCTCTTCCAGGTGCCTCGTAGCAGCCCCAGCACTGCAGGATGCACCCAAGCCAGTCAGCCCCAGACTGGCTCAGGTATGCCTGGATGGTAGGGCCAGATGGGGAAGCATTTATGGTTTGGTCAGTCGTTTAGAAGTAAGAAAATGTCTGGTGCAAGGCCCAAGCCAGAGGGCCCACGTGGCCTTTTCTCTTGGGGTGCCACCCCTGCAGAGAAGTTCACAGGGAGCTGGGCAGCATGATCCTGCCCAAGGGCAGTGACTCCTACCGTTGAACTTCGGAGGCTGAACCCAGCCAGCCTTGCCTTCTTCATGATGCCACGGAGAGAGGAGATCAAAGCTGGGGGCTGGGCTTTGCTTTCTGAAAGGTGTTTCGCAATGCTTGGGGTGTGTGAAGAACCCAGGGCATGGTGTCCTGGGGAGCAGTGAGGATGGGGCCTCCCATCCCGGGCTGCCTGAGGCGGGAGAGCAGGGCTCAGGGAAAAGGAAAAGACACTTGTCTTTGGGGTGCCTCGATATTAGGCTGCTGTGAACTTGGGCTGCAGTTCAAGAGAGAGAGCACTTGCCTGGCATGTGCAGGGCCCTGAATTCCATCCTTAGCACTGCAATAAATGCATAAAAAATAAATAAAAATAAAGGGACTAACTCTTCCACTCAGCCCACTGTTACCATGGTGTGTCCCATGTGGCCAAATACTTCCAACCAGGGGGCCTGCACAGCTCAATTTTGATGCAGAACTCCTGGATTTTAAACACTGACAGTTCCTTTTTCTCTCTCTGTCCCCTTCTCCCACTGAGAAACTCCATAAAACCTGCTCATGAGCCTAACGTGGCTCGTCACACTGTTCTGTAGTGTGACAGGGACACAGGATCCCACACTTGCTGACTGTGTTACCTTTTGCTGTCGCTGTCACCTCTGTATGGTGGGGTGATGGTGGTGCCGTGGTG